AAATGACGTCCACTGCCACCGAGTTGATTCTGACTCATGTTAACCACCATAGGGTTTCCAAAGCTATAAATCTTTATGGAAGCAGACTGCCTTATCTCTCTCCTGCAGAGTAGCTAGTAGGTTTGAACCACTGACCTTCAGGGCAGCAGCCAAATGCTTTAACCACTATACCACCATAATTCCTTATAGCACTGTATAAGCAGAAAGAAAAGCAAGAAGTCACATGTCTGTCATGGAGAAGCAATGTGAAGAATTAGGATCAATCTTGCAGGAAGAGTAAGAACTAGCAGAGACTTGTTGAACTCTATGCAGCATAACTCTACTGTGACACACATGGGGCCACCATGAGTTGGAACAGACTCCACGGCACCTGGGTTGGGTATATGGTAGAGTGGGCATGATTGAAATGAGAAGGTAGGAATTGGAGACTGAATGTGGACGACTCATTGAAGGAGTTTTGCTGCAAAAGGAAAAACAGATAGCAGTGACTGTTGTTGTTGTTGTTGTTATTTGCCGTCGAGTCACTAGGGGAGTCAAGTTTTTGTTTTTTTTTCTTTTAAGTTGACAGCAGTAACTGGCTGTCTCTATGCTTATTAAAATTATCTAGTAGAAAGTGACAAGTTAGAGCAGTGCACCTGTGTGAGGGAAAGGGAATGAAATTAATAATACAAGTAAGGGGATTGGCTTTCAAAAGAATCAGGTAGTTCGTCTATGCTAAATGGCTAGCATGCAAAATATATTGGTCCAGGCCTGGTCCATGGAGGAGATGTTATAGTTGGGAGTCTGAAAATGTTCTCACAGTGGGAAGCCGGGTTATCAAATGAAATTGAAAATGAGAGAAGAAGAGAGTTGTTTGAGGGTAATATGTAAAGCTTGAATTAGTCATTTATGGACAAGAGAAAGTGAGTGCATTAGGAAAGAGGAGTACACACGGCTAGACAATTTAATGAGAACACAATATCTGGCACATAACAGAGATGTACTGTAATAGTTTTTTTTAATGAATGACTAAAGAACATATGGGAGCTCTGGTAGCATAGTGGCTAAGGCACTTGACTGCTAACCAGAAGGCTGGCGGTTCAA